AGAAATACACTCTACTGTCAAGTATAACTAAAAAGAATAAATAAAAAATACAAAAAGACTTGAAAATAAAGCAAACATATTGAATAAATCAATTAGGATGATACCTTAATTTTTTTTTTTGCATATGCACAAGAACAAAATTGCCAGAGATGGAATAGAAGTTTTCTCGTTTATCCTAAATTGATGGTTAAAAAAGATCATCTGATTTAAAGATCATTAGCCACATTTGCAGAAACTGCTGGGTCTTCAGAATAAACAATTTCTTAAACCTTAAAAAAAATGACCTAGATTTGAAAGGGTTTAGCATTTTTCTAGAACATATAAACAGATATCATATAAAAGTGGGTTCTTACATGGGGAGATAATTGGAAATAGAGAGGAGAATTTTATTTTGGCAGAGAATATATTGCTTCTTCCTACATGTAAATAACACCAATATAATCTCCAGCTTCCAATATTGAATCTGAAAAGTTCTCAAGACCTTTGGATTTGAATAGGTGTGGGATACAGGATAGTGTTCATGCAAATGAATTTTGTTGGGCCTCTGGGTCCACAGATGTAAATCATTTCTCTCTTCTCCACCCCGATTTATCTAATGCAGAAGACATAGCACAAAGGAGTTTTCTTAAGGTCATGCTTTCAAGGGGAATTCCTATGCAATATACTTTTTATTCCTTTGGAATTTGAATTTGTGCTGCCATTTTTTGACTATGACAGATGATGAGGTAGGAGATAAAGTAGGCGTTAATGCTTAGTTATATAAAGGAGAGTTTTGCATATGTCCATACTTAGCAGCAGGCTAATTTGGGATTCCCATAAGAAACTTGAGGCTGGAACGCTGGAGTATCTGAAGTTTCAGCTGTCAATTCACTAACTCTTCAGGCCGTGGGTGGGAGGGGGTGTGTAGGATGGGGTGCAGCTTCTGCACCTGAAAGCTGGTTTCCAGGTGGATATATAATTTTGGATAAGAAAGAACCTGAGAGTTAGGGGCCTGGAGATGTCCTGATTAATTGAAGTTTGTTCTGTCTTCCTCTTCCCCATTGTCTGAAGACCACTGAATAGAATCCCCAGCAACAATGAATATTCCAAGTTATACATTTATAATGTTATAAACAGGGCTGGGGGTGTGGCTTTGTGGTAGAGCACTTGCTTAGCACTTCTGAGGCCTGGGTACAATCCTCAGTGCTGCATATAACTAAAGGTATTGTGTCCATCTACAACTAAAAAAAAAATTTTTTTTAATGTTATAAATATTTATCAGAAAGACTTCATTTACAAATTATATGAATGTGTTTATCTTATTGCTAGTGAGACCCTATAAAGGTTCAATTCGTTTATTTTAACTTCAGTCTTTGGGGTTGAGAGTTTGGAGATTTAGAGGGTCATTGGTTCATTCATTGAGGGTCTCCTGGGTGCACCAAGTGCAATTGCACATTGCCCTTGACCCTAAGATGCTTACTTGCTTCAAGTCAAAGGGCAATTTCAACCCAGAGGATATACTTCTGGGAAAAGGAGCAGTGAGAGTTCAGAGGAGAGGTGCCTGAAACATCTTGAGAGGCAAAGAAAGCTAACTGACATTGGTAATTGTGGAATGGCTTCCAGTCCGCAGAGGCCCTTGTGCATTCATCCTCTCCCCTCACGCTGACAGTAGTCCTACCAGAGGCTGTGGCAGATTGAAGGGCACCCGACCTTAAGGCTGAGCGCTCTGGAAGGGATGCACTCACACCTTGGGCAATCCCAGAAGGAGCTGATGGTCTTCTGTGGTACAGCTCCAGGCTCCTAGGTGGTGTCAAGCAGCCTGGGGCTGAAGCAAAGTGTGAAGGTGGATGAGCCAAGAAGGTACTTGAGGCTTGGAAAAAAGAAGCTGGGCAGGAGAGAGATTTGGAATTGACTGGAAAGTTTAATCTCAGGACAACAGAAAACAACAAAACAGAACAGGGAGATTGAAGGAGAAAGAAAAAAAGAACAATAGGACTCAGCGAAGGAGAAACAATGCAGTAAAGATAAACTGAAGAACTAGGTGAAAAGGGCAGATTGCAAATCTCCTGGATTCTCAAATTAAAAAGTGGGGATCTCTTTCTTAGAGAGCAATATCGAGGAGATGAGGCAATGTAATTAAGACTGCCATAATGCTGTGACAGATGCTTGGTAATTGTGGTAACTCCTAAATGTAGGTGTGGCTGCTTCACTGAATACAGTAGAAAAGTTTAAAAATTTTTTTAAAAATCATTTTTGTCTGGATAAAATTCTAAGATGGCTGTGCTCTTTAGAGGTTGCAAATGAGTTTTTGAATGTTTAACATTTCTCTTCTCAGTTACGTGAGGATCTTCTGGCCCTATGATGTTACATAGGGCCTATAAAATAATTACCTACAAAATTGTCCGATCATGGAGGTGCACACCTGTAATCCCAGCAACTAGGGAGGCTAAGGATTGTGAGTTAGAGGCTAGCTTTAGCAATTTACTGAAGCCCTAAGCAATTTACTAAGACACAAGCAAAATAAAAAATTAAAAGGGCTTGGGATGTAGCCCGGTGATTAAACACTCCTGGGTTCAATCTCTAGTACCAAAAAGAAAGAAAAAGAAACAAGAAAAAGGAAAAAAAAAAAAAGTAAGAGTGACTTTACCATCTCACGACTATAAGCAAAGGTTCTGGCTGAACTCAAACTAGGTTAACAGCTTGGCTTTGTGCATACCTGATGGGTGGACAGCAGTCTGAATGGGTTAATTTGGTGGCCCTTAGGGTTGTTAACAAATATTCTGATTCTCTTCCTCCAGCACATGATAGGATTGCACTTTCTGTTCCCTGGAGGTTAGATCTGCCCTTGGGACTTTCTTTGGTTAATGAACTGTGTTTGGAAGTGATTTGTGTCCCATCGGAGCAGACTTTAGGGGCTTGAAATGGAGCCTGTCAGCTTGGCTTCTTGGGTGACTCAGCACAGAGCTCCTGAGAACTTGAATGACACATGCAGAAAGTACAAGACAAATACATTTGCTGTGCTTCACCACTGTCAGTTCGGCCACTGAGCCACATCCCCAGCCCTATGTTTAATATTTTATTTAGAGACAGGGTTTCACTGAGTTGTTTAGTGCCTTGCTTTTTGCTGAGGCTGGCTTTGAACTTGTGATCCTCCTGTCTAAGCCACCAAAGCCACTGGGATTACAGGTGTGTGCCACCGCGCCCAGCATCACCACTGTGAATTTTGTTTGTTATAACCACATAACTTGGCCTTAGTCTTTTAAATTCATCTTAAGGAGACTTTTTGTTTGTTTCTATTGCTTTGTTTGTTGAGGGAAGAGGAGACTGGAGGAATTGGCCTCCAATCCACCTGCTCTCCACCTAGGCCTTGGTCTAGTTTGGAGCCCCAGTAGAGAAAGCTATGGAGCTGGAAACTGAGTTTTGGAGTGAATTTTGGAGACTTTCACCCCAACTTTTAGGGCCTGGTTGACCAAGAAGTGTTCTGAAATTAGAAGTATTTTAGTCAGCTTTTTTGCTGCTGTGACTAAATGTCCTGACCAGCACAATTTTAGAGGAGAAAGAGTTTATTTGAGGGCGCAGGGTTTCAGAGGTCTTAGTTTCCATAGAAGGCTGGCTCCATCTGTCACGGCAGGGCTTGAAGTGAGGCTGAACATCATGGTGGAGTGTGTGGCAAGGGAAGCAGCTCCCATCACGGTGATCAAGAAGCAGAGAGAGAGAAGCTCCACTTACCAGATACAAATATATACCCAAAGCCACGCCCCAGTTCCCACCTCCACTTCAGTTACCACTCTCACTGATTGAGACTCTTACAACCCAATCATTTCTCCTAGGAACCTTCTTGCATTGTTTCACATTTGAGTTTTTTGGGGACACCTCAAATTCAAACCATAACAGCCATGATCTCCACCTTTCCTCCCAAACCCAGTGCTTCTGTGGCTTCTCAGGGTCTGAGGAGGATGTAGACCTGCTCGCGCTTTCACAGACTGGGATTTTTCATACAGAGGAGCAGCAAAAGTAGTTGTGACGTCCAGAAGTGACTATAGTACCAGCAACACATAGGTGGATTTATCACTGGACATGTCTCAGATATTACTCTGGAGATTGCCAGAAAGAACCAGGGGAGATTTGGGAGGATCAGCTGAGTTCCTGATGTTATACTGATGGTGTTTAGAGTCACCAGTATTTGGAATTAATGTTAATGTGACCTCATGTGACATGTAGGTTTTGGAGGTGTGGGGACAGTGAGTCAGATAAGTGTTCAGCTACTTCAGTTCACTGGGACCTGAAGCGTGCCTGCAGATCTGTGAACAATATGCATCTATTGATCTTTCTGATTGACCACCAGCTTACATTGTTATTTTTCTATATAGACTGCTATTATCTGGTATATTGATCAGTGTATTTTTCTTTCAACCAGTTAAAATGAATGTATAAAGTATTAATTTCTTGAGGAATAAAATTAAAATGTTTAATTTAAAAAATACCTCGAATTTCTAGACTTCATTTTCTTTTGCCAATCTTCCTTTGTAATTCTTTTCTTTTCCCTAAGAGTGCTAGGGATTGAACCCAGGGTTTTTATGCATTGTTTTTCTTTTTTTCCTTTTTATTTTATTATTATTATTTTTTTATACCTTTATTCCATTCATTTATTTTTATGTGGTGCTGAGGATTGAACCCAGGGCCCTGTACATACAAGGTGAGCGCTCTACCACTGAGCCACAATCCTAGCTCCTATTTTTATTTTGTATTAAATAATTTTCTTTACTAGGTGAGCGCTCTACCACTGAGCCACAATCCTAGCTCCTATTTTTATTTTGTATTAAATAATTTTCTTTTGCAGAGTGAGTTTGGGGACTGGTTTGCCAATTTACAGTCACTTTGTCTATGCAATGACTTTAAGAAGCCAATAGACTCTTTAAAGGCAAATTTTAGAACCAGCGATGAATGTTGCAAAGGAAGAAATTAAATAGTGAAACTGCGGCAGAAGTGCTGGTATCCATGTATACACAATGATGCAAAAATCACAGACACTATTTTTTATTGTTATCAAACTTAAGTTGGGTTGGGGGAAGGCTTCCATTTTAACACCCTGTTACCCAGCCCCCAATTCAGCTGTGCTACCTAGGGGATGTAATTTACAGGGTCCATTCCTGTTAGGTTCTCTGGTCCCTGGAGGCGACCTTAGAGGATTGACTGTTTATCTCCTCCTATTTTATCATCTTTGTCCCTGTCTTTAGGCAGCAGCACAGAATTTCCTGGTGACACCTATAGTTGTGACCCCAGCTTGGAGAATCCCATTAATTCTTCTCCATCTGTTTGGATCAATAGCTGAGGCAACCCTGGGCATCATGGGTTTTGAGCACGGCGCGGCTGTCCATCTTCCCCTTGAAATGCAGGACAATGTCAACATGGAAAATAGGATATGGTCTTTTTATAGTCAATGTTAAATTGTTTTCGTTTCTATCACATTTCTCTCAAATGTAGCTTAAAGTTTATAAAGCTCTTCCAAACGAATTAAAACAGTTTCTCACTCAAAATGTGGAATACCAAAGGAATTATTCTTAACCTGAATTTACTGAAGAGGAAACTGAATTTTGCTCGAGGTCACTAATTGCCAGCAGAAATGGAACTCACACTCAGGACTTCATGATCCCTGGCCGTCACCCCTTTCTTCATTTGGGGGCTTTGTTAAACAATTAAAGGATGACATTTTCTATGATATTTTAAAGCTTCAACATTGTTATTTTGCTTCCATCCAAAGGATCAAAGAAAGAAATTTTCCACTTTGATGTAAAGTATGATGGAGTGCTACTAATGCCCGAGTCCCTCTGTTTCCCTGGATAATAGCTCCTTTTGTTAACATTAGCAGAGCCAGCCCGTGTCTTTATGAACCACCCTATAAATTCACCCTGAAATCCAGCTATCAAAAAGACCATAAGTACAAGCAGATATCTGGGCTCTGACAATTTAGGATAAGAAATATTAATTAAAAGATAAATAAATAGAGAAAAGGAAAGTGGAGGAAGGTTAAAAAATTAGTTGCCTGTATATTAGTTAATCCAATCCCTTCTTTGAGTTCCAGAGTAATAGACAAACATTAGTAAACACTTACTGAGTGTTTCATCTGGGGCCAAGGATGACACTTGGCCTGCTGTCCCCTCTTTCATGAAATAGCCAGTATAGCCCTGTCTTATCAGTACTGCATTTGCTCCACTTTCCGGAATGGAGGCTCACAGAGTTTACGCAGCTTGCCTAGCAGGCGAGCAGCTGGGCAGTATTCATAATCACACCACGGACTTTATTCTGACACCTGGGGAAATCGCATTTCATGAAAAAAAAAAAAAACAACTTCCCCAATTAAAAAAAAAAAAATTCACCCAACTCAGAAATCATAATCACACCACGGACTTTATTCTGACACCTGGGGAAATCGCATTTCATGAAAAAAAAAAAAAACAACTTCACAAATTAAAAAAAAAAAAATTCACCCAACTCAGAAATGAGCTGCAGATGCCAACACCCATCCAACAGATTTACACTTTGTTCATTGGAATCTGGCTTCCGTGGAGACGGGTTAATCTTGCCAGTTTTTCTAGAAAATTAATTTGCTTTGCAGCAAAGCCTTGGGACAGTGTGTATTAAATATTACGGCTAAGCAAGATCCTCTAGCCAGGCACAAACTGTACAATTTAAAAAGGGAGGGGGGAGTAAATTAAGATAAAACAACATGAACCAGTTTTCATTTAAAGACAGGCTGGCCATGTAATATATTGTTATTATTATTTCTTTCTAGCTACAAGGTCTTGACCCCTCAGGGATGTTGAAAAGAACGGCAGGATTGATTGAGGAAAAGGAAAAACAGCAACTTTAAAAAAAGCTTGTGGCAGATTAGATGGTGTTATGATGCCTGGTCATGACTTCCTCCTGCCAGAATGAGATTCATTAAAGAAAACTCTTAACTTAATTAAAACTCTGCTCACCAATAGCCTCCCCTTCAGATGTTAATAACCCACTAGGCCTGTTTGACAGTGTGGCTGTGGGTAATCAGTGGAAACGTTTTTTATTAAGAGGGATGACAAGAAGCACTAGGGAGATATTTGATGCGCTTTTAACCCAAACTGACAAAAACAGCTGCCTGATTGATGACTTCTTCTATCAGGGACCAGTGCTACTCTGAGTGTGGGGAGCAGTTGCTCCTCAGTTCAGATGGTCGTCCCTGGGCCAATGTGATGACGATGTTATTTCCTGTCTTATGTATGTGGTGAAAGTTAGCTTAGAGAGCAGCAGGCGGGAGGGGATTTTGACTCAGCCCAGACCCCTTGGAGGATTGTGGTCTTTTCTGCGCTGATCACCAGAGCCCCTTATGCTCTGGAATAGATACAGCCACAATCCCTCCTGTGGGCATGTTAGTTTATGGAAAATGGCAGAAAACACATTTGTCCATGTCAAATGAGAATAAACTTTCCGTGCTGCCGTTTCATATAGATCCATTGCCACAGCACTCGAAGGGCACATGGGGTTAGCGGAGCTGCTAAATGACAGGGTTCCTCTGGGTGAGCAGGTTTGGGCACTTGCACCTGGAAGAAGACAGTGTAGGTCCCACACCTTGTATTTTGCCTCTCTAGTCCTGAGGGGAAGTTTTGAATGTGTCCCCAGCCCCATCACCTAAATTTCAGGAAATAGGAATGTTAATGGGCATCAAAGGAGTATTTATTTGTTTGATCTTTTTACTGCATCATAAGCTTGTTAAAAACAGTCATTTGGGGCTGGGGATATAGCTCAGTTGGCCGAGTGCCTGCCTAGCATGCAACAAGGGTTCAAGCCTCAATACCACAAAAAACAAAAGCAAACCAGTCGTTAATTATTTTTATGACTTCCAGATTAGTGCTTGGCTCATAACAGAATTATTAATATTTTGAGTAAATTAATTAATGAAGGTGTTTAGGCCTGATTTTAGAAGAGGCCACTTACCCTAGTCACTTTCAGGATGCTGTGGACAGGGCAGGGTGCTTCTTTGCTGGGGAAGAGCCTCCCTAAGGGGACCAGGTGTGCCCATGGTATTTACTAGGGGAAGGAATTGTGAGGTGGGTGCCTCTGTTCACTGTGCTCTGGGTCTTAGGGGAGAAAGGGCCCTGGGGGTTTTCAATTTGTCCTGAAGCTGACCAAGGGCTAAAACTCCCATGGCAGTGTTCTTGAAAATTCACTGAACTTTAGAATCTACTGAAAATATTAAAAATAAAAAACGAACAACTAACAACCAGGATCCCATTTGTAATGATTTGGATCGTAAATGTCTCCTAAAGGCGTGAATGTTAAAGTTTTGGTCCCCAGCCATGGAACTCACTACCAGGAGGTAGATCCTTCAGGAGGTGGGGCCTAGTGGACGGAAGTTACCACTGGGGGCGTGTCCTTGAAGGGGATATTGGGACCCCAGTCTCTTCTTCGCTCTTGGCTTCCCAGCAGCTGTGAGGTGAAGAGTTAGAGGACTCCCACACACTGACTACCATGATGTTCTGCTTTGCCACGGTCCCCAAAACAACAGAGTCAAGTGACCATGGACTGAAACCTCTGAAAACGTGAGCCCAAACAAACCTTTCCTTAAGATTTTTCATTCTCAGGTATTTGCTGCAGTGACAGAAAGCTGACTAACACATCACCCTAAAGGGAAAGAGAACCTGGGGGTTGTGATACATAAGGAATGTGTACTTTAAAAAAACAAAATCTTAAAGTGTATATATGTGTGTGTGAGTGTGTATCCACTCAGCTAGAGTTGGAAGCCCTGATGTGTCAGAATCACTCATGAAAGTTAAAAATTGGTAAACACAGCACCGTTCTTCCAGCCTTGACCAGGATGGGTTCACACTTGTATTGACACAGTATTTTGAAGAAGAGCGGGATGGAACAATTCTTTGGCTTAGGGTTTCACTTTTCGAAGAACAATTTAGGGTACTTTTTAAGAACACAGCTTCCTAAGTCTTCCCTAAATCTACTGAATCAGACTTTCCAAGAGAAGGATGTGGGACTTTGGAGTTCAAAAAGAGCTCTAGGCTGGGCCAGGTGGTGCACATCAGCAATCCCAGCTACCTGGGGAGGCTGAGGTAGGAGGATCAATTGAGTCTAAGAATTGAGGACCAGCTTGGGCAACAGTGAGATCACAGCTCAAACAATCAAACAACCCCCCCCCCCCGAAAGTGCTCCAGGTGATTCTCATGACTAGGGAACCATTATGTTGGCTTGATGTTTTTCAACCCCACACTAGCAACATCTATACCACCTGGAAACTTGTTAGAAATACAAATCCTTGGGCCCCACTCCAGTCAGAGAAATGCTAGGGTTGGGGCTCAGCAATCTGTCATCTAAGAAGCCTTGCAGGTATTTGATACTCCAGTCTCAGAATCGCCACTCTTGTTCACTACCTCTGAAAGTTGTGGGCCAGCGACCAACTTCATTGGCATTACCTGGAGGCTAGTTAAAAATGCAGGCTCTGGGTGGGGGCGGGGGGACCCTTAGGCCCAATCAGGCCTAAGAAATTACTCTCCATTTAAAATAGATCTTCAGATGATTCCTATGCTCATTAAAATTTGAGAAACACTGCTTAAAACCCCAATAAATATCACTTCGCTATAGCATTAGGAAAATATAAGCTCTATTAATGAGAAGCAAAATCCAAAATCAGTAACATGTCTCCCTTCAAGAACAGAAGTGGCTTTAATTATAGAGAAACTATGAAGCAAATCACTTGGAACTATATTACTAAAATAAATCCCAGCACTGTGTTATTAATTAAGCTGAAGTGAAGGATTCAAGTAAAATTAAATGTAAAGTTCTTCTAACCACAATCCTGTATCACTTTTTCTCTCCATAAGAGTGTTTTCTAATTCAATATAGAGTCTGTCAAATTATTTTACTCCAGAGTCTGACTTCACTTCTTTGAAATATAAATTTGAAACACAAACTCTTTTGAGATATAAACACACACACACACACACACACACACACACACATATATTAGATTAGTTAGAGTACTTTAGAGAAACAGACAATAGAATAATTTATCTCTGTTAGAGAGAGGTATTTTAAGGAGCTGGTTCTCTTGATTGTGGGAACTGGCAAGTCCAAAATATGTGGGACAGAGCAGGGTTCCTTCTTCCTTGGGGGACTTCAGTCTTTGTTTGCTCTTAAGACCTCAAACTGATTAAATCCAGATTGGTGATTTTTTAAACACCTGAACACTGTAGTTGAGCCAGTTTGACACAATAACATCAACACACACACACACACACACACACACAGGTGTGTCCATGAAACATTTTTGAAAGTTCAAGAAAGTCATGAAATATGCCTATTTTCAGAGCTAGTGATAATTCATCAACTGTATTGACTATTACTCAGTGTAAATATAATTGAACTCTTTTTCTTCTGTTTTTCTCCCTCTTTGCCACCTTGCCTTAAGTCTTCAAACAGTATAAAAATCTGAGTACAACCTATGGTGTGACAAATAGCTGTCACAATTGCTCATTTCCTGTTATAACTGTTAATAGCAAATTTGAATTGTCATTTCTGACAGTTGTGACTTGAGGCACAGGTGAATCTTCCTTTATGTCAAACATTGCCCCCTGGGGTTTAAGGAAACTTGGTTTGAACCCTGTGCTCCCCACGGCTGGGAGCAGTCAGAAGTCCTCTTTCACATTGCCAGCCCACTCTCCTCACGGCTTCATCTTGGCTTCTGTGTCCATGAGGGCCATATACTGTGGCCTCTGTGTGTAGAATGACAAATCAGACCGGGCAATGTGACAGCTGTCTTGAAGCTTGACGTGTATTGATTTTGAGGGCTTGTCTTTTAGCACACTATTTTTTAAACATGAAATGATTTCTTTGAGTATGGAGGTCACTTTGTGTGTGTATGACCGCGAAGACCCTGTGATTTTGCATGGCCCAAAGAGAGAGAAAAGACTAGAAGAATTTGAGTGTGGCAGCTAAAGGCTCCATGGATTTTGGTTTTGTCTTAGTTCCTGTGTGTGAGAGTCACTTTTAGACATCACCAAGGTGTCCTGGCTACCAAAAGTTATGCAAAACACTGTGGAAATGTCAGCAATTCCAGACATTCATTTGCCCACAGTTTGTTAGGTGGGTGATGGTATCAGGTGGGACTCTCAGCTGTGACGAATTCAACTTGATCTGGCTTAAGATAAAAGTAGGCTTTGTTGGAGATAACACAGTACTAAAGACTGACTGCAGGGCCTGGGGCAGCTTGAGACACCTGGCTCTGGGTTCCC